TGGCAGTTATACCGTCATCATTTTAACCACTATGTACGTCGTTTTCAGGATGAATTTCTACCTGAACTGCTTCTCTTTTTTCGATATCCAGAAGCACTGACTTTTTAAAAAAATTCGATTCCTCCAAGTCAATTCTTAACTACTTGTTCAGTAGTCTACTTTACAGTTCTTTTTTTGTAACGTATTTCTTTTCCGGTCAGCTTCGGAACCGGCAATCTAGCTAATAAACAACAACAACTTATTATAGTGCAATTACTTTTCAACAGTATGATCATATTTCTTTCTCTTCATTCATCAACGGAATTCTTTTTTCACAATCAGCACTGCTATTTTACATTACATGAAATCATTATTTCCATACAGTGATCTATATAAGATATTGATAAAGAAAGCCATGCCTCATAAATATGTTGTTTTTTTAATAAAATATTGCACGAATTATATTCGGCTAACCTAGGTTAGATTATAAATCACCATAAAGTCTTAACCCGCAGAGCTTCATATAGAATCACTATTAATGGTGGTATTCCCGTTGCATTCTTGCTGAGATCCGATCGCGAACGCAGTTTTTTCCCGTGTAACGAAAAAACGCTGGTCTTGGCAAAATAAAATCGCGATCTTATAATTGTAATCGCGTTCCTGATCAAGTTCGTTATGAGATCCCATTCGATTTGTGTTTAAAGAGTGTAACGGGATCGTGGCAGGATTCTGGTAAGTTCGTGTGTAATTCGCGTCAAGATCTTGAGAAGACTTTTCCTTTGCCCGATCTTGTTCGGATCTCATTTCAATCTTGCCACGATCTTACCAGGATTTCAGTGCGATCCCGTCAAAAACATTTTAGCCTCAAGATTATGAAATTTTCGTTATACGGGAAAAATAGCAAGATTAAGTGCGATCACAGTAGCGATCTCGCGTTAAGTTTCAAATTTCTTGTCAAAATCGCGGCAAGGTGAGGCTGTATTCTTGCCACGAATGAAGCGGGAATGCTACTAGGGTTTGAGAACCAAATACTTTTAACAACAAGCAACTCAGCTTCATTTCCCATTGTCAAAATTCCATAGAAGCACGGATATGTAATCGAGGTATTCAACGAAATGAATCAGCGATGACACCGACAGAATGTCTATGTCCGCCATCAGCGTGTGATCAATATTGTGTATTTCAGATAACATTTTGAGCAAATGAACATCTTGAGGAGATAAAGTGGCGAGCAGAAATTTAGAAGACTGTGTTTTCGGTTTATCACGTATTCCTTTACCAATCTCATGATGTAGATTTGTTAATTATCTCTTAAATTTACTTTGATATTACGAACTGAGGATGATTTACGTTCTTGTTTCGACAGCGTAAGATATAAATTCATGATATAGTTCTTTAGAGACGTAGATGACAGGAACGCGAGTTATTCTATCTCATTACTTCTTTGTAGTACGAGTTCATTAAGAGACTATTCTTAATAAGTTCCGGTTACATACCGATAAATTCTGATTTTTAAAATGAAAAGAAGACAATAGTTTTAAACTGCTGAGGACTATAGTAACGTCACTGTGTCACATATACCGTTTAATTGCAAATTTACTCAATGTTTCATCATAAAGTAGAGGAAAGTCTAAACGACAAGATATGTGACGAAATAGTTACTTCTGGCAGAGATGCATTGCGCTAAAACTCTAACAATGTAAGAAACAACAAACAGTTCGACTCAATTTTGCAAAACATCACTGTTTTGGTGTACATACAGCCATTTGCAAAAAACTGATCATAATTTTTACGACTGCTCGGTCTTGTTTCATTCATTTTTCTTGATCCATGTATGGTTCGATCTAGATGTGAAATGTTTGAAAAAGTCCATATCACTGTATCAAATCTAGATGAGTGGGCAAAGTCGGTGATTGATATGAAGGCAGTGAATCTTCGTCTCGCTGTCATCAGTTTTGTACAGTTGTTTACCGATATCAGTTAATCGTCGAACTACTTCTTCTGCGCGCGCTATGCATCTAAATCATTTTTTCAATAGATAGTAAAGTTCCGTAGACATGACGTTTTTATTTTCTTCGAATATTATAATGCAAGCTCAATTAGTAATGGCTCTCTGATGGTCTATCTGTATTGCATATTAGTGCCTGAACTTACACACAGGTTTTCAAAATGGTTTGTTTTCGAGATACAAACTATTTGTCTATCCGGAAAATGTTTTCCCATAATAAAAATCCGCCTTTTATTTAAAAATCCCTGCTGGACTCCATTGTAATATTAGTTTCCTTCGATTTTCACTTTCATATCAGCATACTGAAAATCTGGATTTTGAGTTTATTTCGAGGATATTTTACATTCTATGATAATTGATATCGTACAGGTTTTCTGAGAACTCTTCTTAACACTCTTTAACACCGTCGTAAGTTTTCTTTTTAATCAGATGTAATGCAGGCATCCATAAGATGGTTCTTCATGGGATTATTTTAATTTTAACCCGGTTGTTTATTTTGACAACTACATAGGTCTTAGGAGTACTATAGAAAACTGACAAAAATACGTACAACTGAATATACAATGAATCATCATTTTTAAAACATAAGTCTCGATCCTTTGCCTCGGATACCTTCATCTACAACTGCTCCCTGTTTGATTGATTGAGAGAGATAAGGATAGAGTTCTACTTATATACTCTATATAGCTCTACTTGGCTTCCACTGATTTACGGTTCAGATTTACTGCCAACTTTCGAACTGTTGTAATGGCAAAAGCTGACGATGATGGTGAATTCAATGTTTTCAAGGCCACAATTCGTCAGAAAAAAGAAAACGAACAGAAGTTTATAGTCTTAATATGGAAATACATGTTAGATACAATATGTCTGTCATATAGCCATCTACGAACATGAATATACGTCAGAGTTATTATAATCACAGGCGTACTTCCAACACATTATAATTAACACTAATATAATACAGAATAATCTGAATCAAAAGAAGAATTACACATTATAATCAAAATAAGTTGATATATGTTCACATAAGAGTATTAACTCTTTTATTTGAGAATTGAGGAGGAAAAGAAGATCAATTTAAATATCTAAGATGTGCTTCAAAAATTTCAAGAGTATAGCTCGTCAAGAGAAAGGAAATTATATACTTAAAAGAAGAGAAAAGGATAAATTTATTACCCACAAATATATTTATGTCGAAAAAAGGCGTGCTTCCCAACAATGCAGTAACTAACAGTAATATTACAGTATTCTGCACTGAAAGATCAAATATAGCAATTAAAATAAATTCATAAATTCTCTTCGCCTTTTTATTACCTGTTCCAAACTCTGGATGAGGTGGATGAATGTAACATCGTCGAGTTCTGTCTCATCTTCGTTTACTGCTATTGCAGCCAAAATCAGTTTACTAAATTATCTCACGGTCGAACTCAATTGTTATTTTCCATTACCATTACTGCTCTTTGGCTCCATTGGTTTAACATTAAATGTTCTGATTTTCACACGAAAAGCATTAAGGACCAACTCATGCACACAATATTTTCTTGCATCAACTATCGCAGATTATTTTGTTCTCTATTTTGCAGTAATAACACGTATCGTCTCTGATGGTTATGGAATTGATCTCACTATACAATCACGTTTGTATTGTAAAACTCGTTATTATATCACATACGTTTCACGGACATTATCATCGTGGTTCGTTATTTTGGCTTGTGCGGACAGGTGTGCCTCGAGTTCACAACATGCTAAAATCCGACAATTTAGTCGAGTGCCTGTAGCTTACAAAACCATTCTTATTTCAACAATTCTTTGCGTATTGAGTTACATACATGTATTCATTTTATTTGAAATACAAGAACAAGAAAATTCGTTAACATGTTATGCTGTCAGCGGCTCATATCGCATCTTTTCTGATTTACAGTATCTCATAACTTATGCTCTTGGACCGTCTCTGTTGATGGCAATATTCGGAACCCTCATCACCTTTAATGTTAAAGCAATGCATCGGCAAATCACTCCTATAGACGCTAACAACGGACATGGACACATTAGAAGAACCCGTAAAAAAGACGTACATTTAATGTTCATGCTGCTATTTCAATGTATATTCATTGTAGTATTCACAATTCCATTTGGTGTGCAAAAACTGTACGACACGTTTACATTAAGTGTTATTAAAACACCATTAGAAACTGCACAAGCTAATTTTATCACAAATTTTATTCGTCTTTTATCTTATGTACAGCATTGCTGCAGCTTTTACATTTATACTCTTTCAGCACGAACATTTAGAACTGAACTGTTGAAATGCATTGATATTGTTCTAAAACGGATGTTTGGTGAAAGACATAAAAATTTCGCTAGAGCACATCCAGTAAAGCACTAGCAAACAGTGACAATAAACTATAACAATAATGGCGTACAACGGCGGAAAACGGTCAGAAATCGAACACAATTTTCATAACTTAACAAAATAGACAGAAAAAAATTCAGTACATTAATTACCAGCATTACGTGCTTGGCGGTTAGATTTTGGAACGGATGTCAAGGAATTAACATTGGGTTGTTCTTTTGCGAACGTACCACGTTTACATCGACCTTGTCTAAATTGTTCTAGAGTAACAGGACTAGTACAACTCGGACTCCTGATGACGAATATTACGTTTAAAAAACTTTAAAACAACGGTATGGCGGTCCTCTAGTCCTGCTAGCAGAACAGACCATTTGGGAGCATTTTCACCATTTTCTAGTGGAATACTTTCATGAGCTGGTACCGTCAGATTAGATTGTATGTGTGCAGAGCTACAAAATCACTAGTCGATAAAATGTTCTAAAATGTTAAGCAAGTTCTCACGAAAATTTTAAAAAAAAACTTTTTTCCGAAAAGTAGACCTTTTTTGTAAACCGTTTTACGGAATTGCAGGACATATATTTCGCATGTACTCGACGTGGACTATTAGAAAAACAGGTTTCCGTCAAGGGCCAAGAACCAAGAAGAAGAAGAAGCGTTGAGTACATGCGAAATATATATCATCCCATGTCCTGCAATCCCATACAATGGTGCAGCACGTACTCAAACTTTGAAAAACAAGGAAAATCTCCTCCAAAAGTTGTTTTTTCTAGCATTAAGTGTTTTGTAATCTCAAGTTGAATCACTTCATCGGATAGAGCAAGAGAAGAGGCGTCGAATATGTACCTTGTTGTTGTGGGTTGATATGCTTTTATGGAGAAAACCTGGTTTACAAAAAAGGTCTACTTTTCTACTTCAGCACCGAATTCAACAGGAAAGAACATGAAGTTCTTGTGCAGAAACACCGATCTTTACCGAAGAAAATGTGAAGTGTTTGTGGAGAAATACTTCCTACTATCGGAAAGAACATGAAGCTCCTGTGTGGAAACACCGAATTCAACAGGAAAAGACATGAACTTCCTGTGGAGAAATACTGATTTCAAGAGCTAAAAACCTGAAGTTGTTGTGGGGTGTTTCGTCACAACCACTTCATATCTTTTCTAGAAGAAACCGATGTTTCTGCACAAATACTCCATGTGTTTCGCTGAAGAAACCGATGTTTCCTCACAAACACTCCATGTTTTTTCCCAAAGAAACCGGTGTTCCTCCACAAATACTCCATGTGTTTCGCTGAAGAAACCGATGTTTCTCCAGAAGAACTTAATGTTTTTTCCTAAAGAAACCGATGTTTCCCCACAAATACTCCATGTTTTTTCCCGAAGAAACCGGTGTTTCCTCACAAACAGTCATCTTTTTCCTGGAGAAACCGATGTTTTTTCTTGAACAAACCGAAGTTTTCCTGAAAGATCTACATGTCTTTTGCCGAAGAAACCAGTATTTCTTCACAACAACTTCATGTCTTTTCCAGAAGAAACGGGTGTTTCTTCACAGCCGCGTCATGTGTTTTTCAAAGAAACCGATGTTTTTCCACAAATACCCCGTCTTTTCTGCTGAAGCATTACGATGTTTCTCCATAAATACTCTCTGTTGTTTCCCGAAGAAACGGGTATTTCTTCACAAGAACTTTATGTTTAATCCTAAAGAAACCGATGTTTCCTCACAAACACTCCATGTTTTTTCCCTAAGAAACCGGTGTTTCTTCACAAATAGTTTATGTTTTTTCTGGAAGAAACCGAACATGAAAAAAACATGAAATTCTTGTGGGAAAACATTAAATTTCTTCAGTAAAAAAATGGAGTATTTGTGGAGAAACATCGGAACGTGATGTTTTTTCCTGAAAAATCCGATGTTTCTCCACCAAAGCTGTGCCATCTTTGGAAATAAGTGTGCCAGATAGAACTCGATGACAAAAGTTTGAGTTTTCGCCTCGTTCAGAAAATCACCATTTTCCACCTTAAAAGAACACACTATTCTACAACACTATTCTACACTATAAAACTGATTTTTACTGAAATTCTGTTTTGGCTATGCCAGAATGATAATGGGATTAAAGTAATTTATTTTATTTTTCCATCGAAATAATAAAAACTAAAAGATTAACAAAGAAGAAAAAAAAAGACTTAAAAAATATTGAAAGATGGCAAGATAGCTGGGTTATTCTCTGTACAAAAACGTTTTTAATACTTCATCAGTTGGCCAGAGAAAGAAAATGAGCGGGAATGCGATTCACATCGGTTAATAAAGTGAATAGATAAGAGAAGAATGCTCTAGGAAGATGTATAACTGTTCGTGCATGCAGTATATGAGTGGTAAGAAAAAGAATATGGAATATTTTGATGATTCGGTAGTGGAATGCGAGTAACAGAAAGAAATGAAACTATCATAGGATGGGAAAGAAAGAGAGAAATGAATCGTCTCTCATATATGTATGCTTATCGCTTGTACATGGAAACATTGCTGAGATATAGGAAAGGAAATTGAATGATAGCTTTTTATTATGGATGGCAAGGACTGGATGATGATTTTAAATAAGCAAAACAATTAAAGAAATTACAAAGATTGAATAACAGGAATTGTATCAGAAACTTTCATGCATTCGAGACAGGAGGGGGGGGGAAGGTGGTGTGAGAGTGAGTCCGGGGTATTTTTTGCAGTGAGTGTTTGTTATCGCGATTGGCGAGTAAGAAAAAGTGAGGAAAAGACATCTGAGCTACAGTTCTATAAGAGACAGAAGTAATTGTCTTCTTAGTCTATTCCCATTGCTTGTAATTGTCCTGAGGCTACTTCATACGGCTTCGAAGCTGTATTCAGTTTTTATATATGTATGTGAGGAGACGTTGTTACCCGGGGCCGCTGATTGTAGTCATCCATTTGGATGATATGGTGTTTCATCGGCGAATGGTAGGATTATTTTCACTGCTAACATTCTATTCAAAGATAAGTTCGAGAATATTCTGAGGTCATCTGACGGGTACAAATTCTCATTCTATCAGTTATACATGATGGGGAAATAGTTTGATTATTTTGATTGTAAAATTTTGCATGAAGGCTTTTTACGAACAAGGATTTTTTGCGTGAGATCGAGCCGAAGCACTCTAATGCTGGTATATAGGAAAGATGGATCAACAGATCTGTTTCCCAATTTATTCGTGTCGATCGGTGTGGATTACTCTCTTGCTGTTGCCAATCGATAGGAAAGAGTTGTTTTCGAACGTTTTCTTAGTTCCGAGAGAGTTGGTTGAGGGTGGATAGTTTTAAATCTCGCAGTAAGCGTTTAACTTGTGCGTCAATGAATTTTGAGGGATATTGATTTAGTAGAAGGCGATATCTTATGTTTCAAAATTCTTGTACTCTGTCTGATGCGTCAGAACATATGCGAATTGCTCGTATATATGCAGAGTACGGTATATTTCGTTTGATGTGCCTAGGATGCGAACTACTAAATGGTAATAAATAGGGTTGTGCTGCCGGTTTTCTATATACAATGGTCCTGTAGCGGGGTACTCGTGCAAAGATGGTCACATCAAGATAATTAGCTGTTTTGCCTATCTCGTGGATTAGTTTAATATTTTCGTCTTTCTCATTAAAGTTTCTGAATCTCTCTTCCAGTTTCTGATAGGGTAAAGTGGAGGTGAGAAAGATGTCATCTCGGAAACGAAGGTAATTGTCCTTCGCTTTTCTGCAATGCAAGAAGTTCTTTCTCCCATTCATACATGTATACATCTGCTAACACTTGTGTTACTGCACTACCCATGGTTCCTCCTTTCGTCTGTCGGTAAAAACGGTTTTTATAGACAAAAAAGGAGTTTTCAAGAATTAGTCTTGTCAGTTGCGCAAGCAATGGAAACATTGTTGATTTTGTAGTTTTTAGTAGTGGCGAGCATTCGGCAAAGAGCTGATATGGCGCCTTTTTGAGGATCATAGTATATAAATCTGTGATGTCGAACGTTGCTAACAGAGCATCATCTGTTATGGGGTGTGATTCTAAATGAGATAGAAAGGAAAGAGCATTTGAAGGGTGTGTTGGTGTGTAAAACGCTAAAAGATTGGCCGAAGTATGCGGTCAAGATATGCGGAAATAGGGACGGTTGGGGGCTTCATTCCGGCAACAACTGGTCTCAGAGGCGCACCGGGTTTATGGTCTTTTGGATTATAATATAAGTGGGGGAGCTCGCATTCATTTCCATGTCGTAATTTCTCATAGGTCTTCGAACTAATTTTTTTGAGTTGGAGGAGTTTTAAAAGTAGTTTATTGGTATTATCGGTCATTAGACGTAGGGGATTTTCAAAAACTTTCTCGTATGCATCGGTTTTTGCCATGTAGTTCGCCGATTTCCGTGCATATTTTTCTGGAAGATCCAGATGAAGGATTCGAAACGTTGTCGTAATTTCAGCAACGCTTCTTTAGTCGGTGTTTCACCGTCAAGCATTTGCTTAAGTTGTTTCGGAAGAGCATAGAGACTAGTGTATCATTACACAACGTTGAAATGTACTGCAAGGTAACGGAATAGTATTTCTCGTAATATGCAAAGTAAAAGAAATGAAAAAACCGCTGATGATCCTAATCGGCATTCTCTCTATTTTCCTGCTCGTCTGTTTTTTGCGTGAGTAATGCGGGGTGATCGGTCTGTGCAAATACAATAGTTTGAGTTTTCTGCTTGTTCAGAAAATCAGAATTTTTCCTTTTTTTTAAAATGACAGAACTGATTTTGCCATTCGACATAGCTCATCGAGTTCTATCTGGCACACTTATTTCCAAAGATGGCACAGCTTTAACAAAAAGGTCAAAATCAAATTGGTGGAGAAAAGTTTGCCTTCCCTCTGAAACATCCATCTCTCCTCAATTGGCAATTGTAATTAAAAATGTTGGATATGATTTTCAAAGCTTTTGTGAGGATTTAAAAGCTGAATACCCAGGGGTTGAGAAGGTTGTTAGATTGAGACACAAGGATCAATTTGAGACAAAATTAGTTAAAGGTGAATTAAACAATCGTGAAACAAGAGATAAAATTCTGGAGCGTGGTAAAACTAACGTGAATTATATATCATATGATGTTGATGAATATATTGGTTAAGGAAGAGCGTTGATTTGCTCAAAATGTATGGGCATAGGGCATTTTAAACGTCAATGTCAACAATCTGAGCGTGTTTGTGTTCTGAGAATGACATCGGCGGACTAATTTATTTGCTAGCGAAGAAATGCATCGCTTAATTTAACAAAAAGAATGTTTTGAAACTTCAAACTAAAACGTAGAAAAATATAAGCACTGTTTGAGGAGGGACGGTTTTCCGCTTTTCCAAGCTCTCAAAGTATTTTTAACTTTTTGAATGAAAAACTTGGTTTTGGAAGGCTGAAACCAAGTTAGTATTGCTCCGCTTAGTAATCCTCCTCTTTCGAATGATGTATGATTCGATCGAGTATAAAATAGCGTATGAACTTCGAATTACGCGCGCCTTACTGTTAAAAATAGTGATGATTCTCGCTCTTACATATGGTTCTCAACATAAAACTTTACGTTGAGTTTAGAATTTTTAGTCTGATAAACGAGAATCACTGCTATAGTATATTAAAAATTCAATAAAAACCAGTTTGACATACAACTTTTCGCAAGGAATTTAATAGTAATACAACAACAAGTTAATTCAACTAATTCAACCAATACTTAATTAACGCGGTCCTGTGTGCAAGTTCCACCGAGAGTACCTCTAATAGATTCCCTGCTGTTGAATTTTCATATGCTGGTCAGTGGTTTTTTAATAACTCAAAGGCGAAAGGCGATAGAAACTTGTGGTTTTGCGATTCGATAGCCAAGACTCTAAGCTATGTTTTATTACTAAAACAAAGTTGAAAGTATTTCCCAATAACCGGTTTTCAGGAGATCTCTAGAAAAGCGTTTCGTAACTCTAAAGGATTAGGTAGCAATATATTGATTTTTCATGAGTAAATACCCTAAAGCGTCCTCTTAAAAGTGCGAGCCAAGCGAGACTTTGATTTTGAGTGACACGGACGTGGTATCTGATTTCCATGAAGCCCCGGAACTGGCACTCAGTGGCTTTCAGTAACCTTGAAAGAAGAGGGGTACATAGTCGACCATGCTAAATCTGATGGCAGCTTTTATTTAATTTTACTAGTAAAATTACAACTTTCAAGTCGTCTGTATTGAAAACGAGAGTGCACTATGTATTACAAAACAACGAAAGCATGTTTTGAGCTCGCGGTTGCGTGGTTTTGTAGCTCACACTGTCTACTATTTATGGAAAATCTCCAAGGTTAAATAATCTGTTGTTACTGAATTACAAGAGTTTAAAGCTGGCAAGTTTTCAAGATGGCGGAATCCACGTTTTTTCGGAGCTTTTCCTAAAAATTCAGTATCTCAGCAATTATACAGCTTTTTGATTTGCGCCTTTTACGAAAATTCATTAAAATGTTTGGTCTAAAAGAAGCTCTTACTTTGAAAAAGTTTTGAGAACATCGATTGAAGGCTGCTCCGCTGTAATAAGTCGTGGCTTACGTGCAATAGCCCTTAATGGAAAAAACTTTTCTGCTAGAAATTTAAAAATCAAGAAGGAGAGGTTCTGGTTTTGAAATATGTCATGAAAGTAGACTTGTCGGTTATTGTCGTTCGTAAAGTATTATGGAAGAGAAAAGATTGTTAAATAATGGACGATTCTTTGTTTGATAGAGATGGCTGGTTTGCATGAAAAAAAGTACATTTTTGATCACAGGCCTTTCGATGTATTTAAAAAGAAGAAAGAAACATTGCACGTTTAGTGTTGTTTTGTTGAATTACTGAAAAGTTCAGACTATTGAATACGTCAACCAGTTTCAACACTATTCGTCGCGCACATTTTATCATAGAAGAATGTGAATACATATATTTCTTTTTCTTTTGTACACTACAACGTTGAATTTTGTCGTCTTCTTATGGAATGTCTATCAGATGACGAAAAAAAAAGAGAGAAAATTCAAAAGAAAATTTTTAGTTCGCTCTCTTTCTACCTGATATATAAGTTAAGTCTTAACTCTGTATTCACTTACAGATAAAAGAAGAAACACAAAATGTCAAATTTATTACTATTACTAATCTTAATTTCAAGTCTTCTTTCTATTCATGGTGCTACTGATAAACAAGCAAAAAGCGAAAAAGGTAAAAACGTTGTCCACCACGAAAACATCCATGCTAGAGAATTGCAGAAAATAAAACGATAAAGTCGTTTCCGTAGAATAAAAGATCTAGCTAACGGTGACTATTTGATAAAAAGTGTAAAACCTGTTCAAAATGACATGTATCAGAACGGGACGCAAGTTTTTTGTTTGTGTTTTTGATTACAGTCTAGGGTTGGGTATAGCCATTGAACGTTGACAGCATCAACTGGTTCAACCGTTGCGTCTGCCAAAGACTAAAACTGCATATCTCCGATGCCAACTGGACACCTGAAAGTATGGAGTTGCTCTTCGAACAAGACTGGTGAAATAAAACATGAAAAACTGTTATAGTGAAAACAAATTGCTTTTAACTGATAAGCTTTTGAAGTCACAATTCAAATGAACTCGCTTCAACTAATGCAGTTTGATTGATGTCATCGAAGACCAGATTCTTCTAGAAACGGTTTATGAGTTAAAAGCAAAGTTTTCTGACTATAATAATTTTTCATGTATTATCACCAGTCTTGTTTGAAGAGCGACTCCATACTTTCAGGTGTCGATACAGCATCTGCCAAATCAATCTCAGATATATAGTTTTAGTCTTGCGACAAGTTGATTTTGAGGAAACGTGAACGCAGCGGTTGTACGAGTTGACCTTGTCAACATTCAGCGACTACGCCTACACCTCTAGTACAGTGCATGGGAACCAAAATCGTCTTGTTAATCACCTAAATTTCCTCGACTATAAATTGTATGCAGGTGATTCCAGAGCTGATGCACTCCCTCCATGAATCTAGTACACAAAACGTTCTCTTTCCTACATTCTTGCCTGTTTTGTTCCTTTGCCACAAGTCCGCTACTGGAGCGTATTAGACAGAATTTTTAGAGATTGATGTATACAAAAAAACAAGACCAAGAAATTGAGTAAAATTATATTTTAGGAACACGGACCTCAACGGGAAATCGAGAATGTTCACAGCCTCTTCAAGAATCTTCATACACAACAAGTGACGAGCCCGTTGCAAAAGATACTAAATGGGATAAATGTCGTGACATATGTCAGGCGACGCAGAGATGTTTGGCTTGGTCGTTTAACGCTGATAGTTTAGAGTGTTATACAATTAAATCGCAAGCATTGTTTGATCAAGGACCCGCACGAGATATACAAAGTGGTACTACTGGTTCATGCAGTGATAAGGCGGGTAAGTGGTAGCTTACCTCACGGTTACATCGCTAATCTGAGCTTTCTACATCTGTTTTTTTTTTCATAACTGATTTTTATCTATCCAACGAATGCTGTTTTCAGAGCGTTTGACTTTCTAGCAAAATTGACACAACCCAAAGGAACGCATGAATTTTTACAGAAACAGTAATTTGGCGAAGAATATTTAAAGTGTCAGCTCATTGGTTTATCATTTTCAGCTTTCCTTGTCAGAAGCGACAGTTAAAATGGTCTGGTCGGTGTATTTCGATGATAGAAAAGAGAACAAAAGTGGGCTAATATAATTGCAGTATAGCTACCAATGCACCTCCACGACATTTCTTCGTACCCAGGTGAAAGGCATCTTACAAGATCTTGTAAGATCTGATGATTTCTTATGCAGTCTTGCTACAAGATCTTCTTTCCGAAGATCATATATGATCTTGCGGAATGTTGTAACTTCTTGTTGATCAGCTTATAAGAAATCTTAAGATCTTGTAACAAGAAGTTATATGATCTTGCAAGATCTTGTCAGTTCCTATAACAAGATCATACGATTTCTTATTACAATATCTTATAAGATCTTACAAAAAGTAATGACTCATTCTTACCACATAAATTTTGCAACGATATATAGTATATATAAAACATAGTTCTTATGACGAAACTTTGAATTTTTTCTTTCTCCAACTGCACACATCAGCTAAGCACAAATAAAGTGCATGTCTATAAGAAACGTGGTTATACACGTTCCTATGGACGTCAGAGTCCTTCCTATGCTCGATAATATTATGAAAAGAAAAAAGCTGTTTATTAAAGAGGGCCTATAGAGGATCTGTAGGACAGAATCAGAGACATAATCTTGTAAGATCTGGGTAATTTTTATATGATCTTATGAAAGCTTTCAAAATCTTGTCACTTCTTGCACGATCATACAAAAGATCTTGCTGTAAGAAAAATCTTGTGAAATCTTGTAGTATCGTGTAATATGATCTTACAAGATTATATTTCACGATTCTTCGCCCTGGGTAGTCATACAAATGGAAAGAGTTTCAAAAATCGGTTGATCCTTCCTATTTTCGCCATTTAAAAAGGAAATACTTCGTTCCTGATGGATTTGAAGTTCGAAATAAATATGTCTAATTGCTTGTTACTCAAGTAGTAAGACATAGATATTTAAGTTGAGGCTATTAAATTATGAAGAAATTGAATCCTTGACAGAATCAACAAAGAACTACAGTCAGTCGTCGCGATTCACGACTGGTCTTCACCAAACACCGGACGGAACATTAAACTAATAATACTCCTGTTTTAGGTCTCGATTGTACTGTTGAACATGGCCCGTGGAATATATGTAGCAAGATGTGCGACGGTGGTTTTCAGATGAGAGAAAATATTTGTAAATCGGCTGGTATCGTAGTTGATTGCAATGAATGTAAACTAACTCCAACTGGACCAATTTTCGAATTCGACGATCAACCGTGTAATACATACGCATGTCCAGGTATGTTTCTATTTAACTGTTTTTTATTCGAATTCTGAATTTTTAACTTTTTTTCTTTCAGTTTGTCAAAAAGAAATGGATGTAGCTCTTCTGTTAGATTCATCGGGATCAATCACAAGATGGTATGTATCTTGCAATACCATCACCATCACAATCGATCAGTATTGTTTTCCATGGTTTGACTTTCGTAGGGACGTTGTAGCTGATGCTGCTGGTGATTTTGTCGAAGTTGTCTATGATCAAGACGTATCGATAAAAGTTGCTATTGTTCTGTTTGCCGATGATGCACAAATATTTCGTCGCTTCAATCAACCAGTTACAGCAGACGAAGTTCGAAAACTGCCACGAATTACCGGTGGTACAAAAACAGGGTTGGGCATGGATAAATTGAAATCAGACATTTTTACAACGGCCAATGGAGATCGTCCTACTGCTAAAAATGTAGCTATGTAAGTAAGAGTTAAATATAGTCGCTAACCTGAGAAGAAGTTTATCAAACTAGAAAAGGTCAAGCAGACAGAAGAACAGAAGAAAATATTGAACGAAATATACATTATGTAATCTTGAAGCGTCGCACTGTGCCCAAATGGTATAAAGAGGGTGAGACTTTGAATGTATGATATATGATTGACGATGGAAGCAATCTCATATGCGTGCCGATTGAACAAGTAGAGAGTCAACAGCACGGTGGACATTCAAGTCTCCTTTTAGCAAAAAAATGCAAGGTTCATTTTTCGTGTTTCAAATAGTGATTACTATGCTTCGAACGACGGCCAATCTAACTGCGAAAGAATTTTTATCTTCTACGACATTTGCTTCCCGAAAAATTCACCCAAATGAAATGTAGTGTCGAGGAAAATGACTCCAGATTCAGAGAAAGCACCTGGAATGAGTTATTGAAACGTTTGAAAAAAGTTTCAAAATAATTATAGTGACAGAAAAAAACCTAAATTAAAATAACTCTAATGAAAATGAGCTCTCTTCAGTAAAATGACAGCGCTGGAATCAAATCGATATTATTTTTTTATAAAATGTTCCTTAACATATACTGAGCCAATGGTGATCTCCCAACCCATTCCTTGAGGATCTACAGGTTTTCCAAAAAACCGTTTTATAGAAATTTTTCGTCTTCCAAAAAAGTTTATCTGAACAATATATATATATTCGGAATCCGCGTGAAATACTGCATCGAATGATATATAGTCTGTTAGTTTTACAAATAAAACATTTGTTGGGAAAAATTCAGGGCTAAGGAATATTTTGTCGAAAACATTTTTTTTCAAATTTTACCTTTTTTTACGTCTAATATCTGACACATAGTAAGGTCATATTATGTTAAAATAATCATTTTCAACTCAAAAAGCCAGATGTCCGCCTGCTGAAGAATGGCCACTGTGAATAGGTGATTTCAGGATACTCGATCATGAGATTTGTTCGGGAAACAATAAAAGAAGTTTTCGTTACACTCCTTTCTGTTTGATTGGGAAGAACAGAGTAGAAATTGCAAGTTTACAGTAGGATGGACGAAATCTACATAGAGTCGTCCTGTTCCATTCCAGGTTAGAGAAACAGCAGAAAGAGAAATTGTTCTTTTTATCTGAGTCAAGTTTCAGACCAAGTTCAGACTACTTTGCTTCTTGATACAATATCAGTAGTTTACTTAATACCCTTAACTGCAAAAACCACAGTTGACGATGTTTGTCCGTTTTCTTGGGAAAACTACAGATAAAACAAACTAGTTTACGCAAATAGTTAAAACATCTAGGAAAAGGCATAGCAATTAGAACCTTATTTTTTCTCTTGAATACCAAGGCAAATACGAGGAACTCGTGCTTTCAAATATTCATATGTTTATTCGATTTTTAGTGTATTCACTGATGGAGAATCAAATGAACCGGCTGCCACAGTTGTTGCAGCGAAGGCTCTTCGAGGCTCAAATGTCGAAATTTATAGTGTTGGTGTGGCCGGAGCAAAACTCAGTGAATTAAATGACATAGCTTCATCTAATACACATGTATATTTTACACATCAAATTGAAGCTTTAAAAAAAGCATTATATAAAACATTGAAAGCAATGTGCCCAGGTATGTTGAAGAATAAACTGCAAAAAAGATTTAATAGCGTCTGGTGGAACTCGCAAAAAAATTTGATATAAAAATAGACAGTTTTATCTTAACAGCGCTCAAAACGGGCTAATTTTCCTGTTCGATAGAACCGTTTATTTAGACATCTCACAGGAGATGTTTCTTCAAAGTTTTCGTAGATTTATTTACCACTGCCTATGAGGCTTAAATTTTTTATCTTCCGTAATAGATGCTGCTAGTCTTCAATTTTATTACTTTTTTGTTCTATAAATTTCTTAATATGCGCTCGTCACTCAGTTGTGAAACTTATTCCGATTTCTGAATGGCTTTTTTTCAAAAACTATCTGATCAGAGAACGAGGTATTTGAATGAGTCTATGGACGGTGTATAGTGTATATATTACTTCGATTTCACTTTCTCACCTTGCAAACGTCACACTTTATACTTTCAGTCTCGTCAACAATGCGAAAATACTGATTTTCAATCTCGATAAGTGGAGAAACTCATAGCTAACTGGATGTGCTTCATTATTTAAAAAGTTGTGATGAGAAAAAGTGATAAGAACTGATTATAGTAAAAAACACTAAATCACCTTATTATGACACTTTAATGGCAAACACTCGGATTTTAGCAAATTCTTACTATTCTGAAAGAGCCAGTGTTGGCTACTGTACGTAACGTTGCTGTTTTATGTCTTTTTAGATGCACCTTGAAGTACAAACAGTTGAAGATCTCCATTCATTTTTTCGTGTTTGCACTGAACAATTTATTACTTTAACACAATCTGATTCTCTTCTTCTTAAAAACATTCTGTATGACTGAATCGTTTCTTCAATTATAGTATACATTTGTGTTCTTTTTTTATGAAATAAATTAAAGTGGACCTACATCCTTTCGCTGGAAGTCACCGTTAAAATTGAGGATCTGTGAACTGATGTTTCAGTGTATCTGCTGCAGTGACATCAATACATCTCAAACTTTACTGTGCTCAACTGAATTTAATGGATGAAGTTTTAAAATTCAGACTAAAAAGATCAGGTATTATTTTGAAAAGAGAAAATTTTCTACTCCTCTATAGATCAAAGCTTATAGAATATCTACAAGAATCTTACGAATTTCTTAATAAGACAGTCAATAGAAATGCGTAAGATATTGATAAGAATCGTTTATAAGAAACTGATATGATTCCGAATTGTAATAACTGGTATCAGAATTTATAGAGTTCTTATAAGATATTTTTAAGTCAACCGCTTCATACACGAATTAAATAATTTTCTTAATATTTATTGTGTTTTCCTAGAATAGGAGCTTAGTCGGAAGTGGGCAGTGGAAAGACTCGCCCTGTTTGTCTACTACCTGTAGACCGGATTTACTTCTCCACCTTTGTCATGACTATAGGAAGAGAATGAAGTTCGAAAAACTTCCTGTACAGCTACGTGCATGACTCTTCATCCGATAGTCAGTGGTCAAAGAAACGCTTTACTTCATTGATCAAAACAGAGAATGCATTGTTGAAAAACACATTTAATGGGTTGTTACTAGTAAAATACAAGGCAAAATCTTATCAATCAAAAAAAAAACAAAAAAAAATCAGTCAAAAAGAAAAGACAAGTCGCCAATGAGATTTACGTAAGAATCTAAGAGAATCCTTATCAAATTCTTATATAAAATTAAGCGGAAAAGTCGTTGTCTGATTTCAGCCACAAATAGGAACTCTACATATCTAAAAGAAAATATGGGCTGCTATTTTCTGTTTGGTTCATGAAGAATAGAGAAACGAAGAAATTAACAATCGTCGCTAGTTTATAGCATTCATTTTCCGCATTTGAGTGACATAGCGTTTCTCTTGTTTTAGACCTTAACTGTTTGTCATCTGCACTTAACATATCTTGTTTTTGCAATTATTTCAGCGTTACTGATTTATGAAAAACTAAATTTTGTTTACACACTTGAATCGTTTGAGTCCTTTCCTCATATGCATATGAATATAATTGCCCGAAAAGAGAGATCAGCTGAATTTTTGTAAAAATAAAAGGAACTACGTAGACAGATTGAATCTGCGATCGCTCGGTCTTTGCCTTTATAACCACTAGGTCACACGTCATTATGATAAGTGTTCTCTTTTCATTTATATTCGTTAAAGTATATTTTACAGAAAATATTTGAATTCATATCACTGGAACAAAAAAAATAAAGTTGGTTTAGAGTTGCTCAAAAGTGATTTTTCGTATTCAGCACACTCGATAACCCAGAAGATTTTCTATTTTTGGCTCGGGGTACTTCCGAAAGTTTAAGAAAACTTTTGAAACAAAATGGCGCATAAAGTTTTCCATGGAAAAATAATATTAATTTGAAAACTTTTCCTAAACTTTCGGAAGTACCTCGGGTCAAAAACAGAAAATCTTCTGGGTTATCGAGTGTGCTGAATACGAAAAACCACTTTTCAGCAACTCTAAACCAAATTTATTTTTTTTCCGGTGATATGTCAAGAAAACTGAAATTTAAGTTTTCAATCAATTAAAAATTTTGAAACTTTCAATTTCAATATCAATTGACAGCTCGCATGGAACTATATAAGAAAAGCTTTTTTCTGGACTTCAGACACTTTTGGGTTTAAAAAGATTTCAAACTTATGAAACAAGATTTAAGAGAATAAAAACTATTTAGCTACGCTATTAAGTCTACAGGGTGTTACATAACCTTTTTCTCCCCCCCTACACGACCTAAAGGACAGATAATATCAGAAAGT